AGACTCAGGCCTTGGTCGAGTGCTGCGGCGGTCTGGAGGTCAGTTGAGGGATGGGGCCAACAAGAATGGGCAATCGGCAGCAGATGAAACAGAAATGAAGAAAATCCCGACATTTTTATGTCACTGAAAATCTTCTTTTTGAGGCAAAAGTAGGCGGAAATGGTACCAAAAGGACTGCGACAGCAATCAGCGCATCGTCATGCAACCAAGACCCATTCGAGTGCAGCACGTTATTCTCTCACCATCACATTTTGTATGAAAATACAGCATGAAAGGATTCGTTGATTGATTCCTGTTGCTATGCCTTCATTTTTTACACACGACACACACAAACACACACACAAACATACAAACTTGAGATGAAAGCAAACTAATTGAATAATAGTTCATCTATCTATCCACGTCTATATATTTCAGTCGAGAATATATAGCACGGAGGATAGAGTCGAAAATTCATCTTGACCTCATGTCAACTTGAGACTTTTACAAGAATGTGTTCCAGCAGTGAAGATGTTCATCGTATGATAGACGAAAGCTCAGCCCATTTTTATCGTTAAACGAGACCGGATGTCTCGTGGACTATCCCAATCTAAAAGTCATGGTAACGTTGAACGGATGTAGAACGGAAATCGGCCGTCTTTTACTGGGCAGATCGAAAAAGGAATCACTTTATTATGCATTTTCGTAAAAAATACAAGTTTCCACAAAAAGTTATCTCATAAAATTCGTCAAAACCGATACCAATATTATCCCGTCCGGCCACTTTTGCAGACGAAAAGAAATAATAAAATAAGAACTAACATAATACATGTTCATCTTATTTCTTTTAAGGTGATCAAAGTGGTCGTTGAATTTCGCTTCCATCAAACTTGACACGGCAACCCCAGTGGAACTGGAACCATGACAGCGCAGCGCATAATCTTGACACGTTAATCACTGCGCTGAATTGCCAAGAGTGTCCTTGGGAGACGTAAATTGCAAGGGAAGCCATGCATTTTTCCATATCACATTCTAAGGTGGGATTGTCGGTGAAGCTAAGCTATATTTGCTGTAGCAATCGACTACATTACTCATTTATCATTTGTAAGTAGTGTCTTCAGACAATCATCAAATTGGACATATATATAGACACATATAGCTCTACTTGGTTCCAGGTGATGAAGGAGTGGTAGGTGAATTTTCCCAACAACTTAGCCAGCCTGAGAGCCGTTTTCCGTACCGTCAGCAGCCCTGAGTTAGCAGCTGCAGTCACCGCAGATCGCATATGACAGTGATTTACGAAATATTGCAAAAATTATAATTCAAGTAAATGTGCACTGACTTGCAGGCTCATCCATCACATTAATTATTAAATATTAATTTAATGTTAATAAAGTATTAAAAAAATAATGAAGGTACACGAGTTTTATTCATTTTCATCGCTTACTTACGAGTAGTCATACTTAGGGTAGGGCGCCATGAAAATATTTTTATTGAAAAAGGGCGCCGCGACTATGAAAAGTATGGGAACAACTGATATTTAGATATTTTCACAATTACCAGAGTAAGACACACGATGCCACTCAACTTCACACCTAACCTTGCCTCCCAACTGGCAATGTTGTTGCTGACGTACTGCAGTTTTTGCTGCTCCTCATCAACTCATTACCACCCAACGGGATTAGATGATTAGTTGTTGGCATCATAGCGACGCTAACACTTCACTGCAATACCGCGGGTGCAAGAGGGTCACTGCAACCTTTAAAGCTAATCATATAACGCCCAAATCATAGTTTATATTTGGATTGACGATTGAGCAAACAGACGACGCTACTTATTTCCGTTATAAGTAGTCTTTGATAATAACTTTAATTTCAGCCTTCGCTCAAAAAATCCCATTGCAGTTACCAATTCACCAAGGCTTTATCAGCATCGTCAACTTAATTAGGCGCCGGAGAGTGAAAACTATTTATGCGATAGTCATTCAATTTGTTCAAGTATTACTGTTCGTCTCGAAAGCTACTTATCCTTAAAATAAGTAGTGTTGTCGATTTTAATATAAAGCACACACTTGTGATAAGGTGATTTAGGTAAGGGCGGACATGTCTTGAAAGCGACATCTGAACTGTGGCGTCTTGGCGGACAGGATCTGTGAGTAGATCTGGTGAGCGGTCCTGATGAAACCGTGAGGCGGTGTCGAAGCTGCAGTCCATGAAAAAATAAATTGACTGACATTGTCAGAAGCATTCATTTTGATTATGGGAAAAGTGCACTCTCAGTCCTTCCTTCTTCCAGTGCGACCATGCTAGGATCCAAGAATTACTGGGACTTTCGGTAACTACTCAAATCGACCTTCATTAATAGGACCGTTCTCCCAATTCTCCAGTTTCCCTAGCCGGCATGAGACTGCCACCATGTCTGGCCACTCGAGACGGAAGACGAGCTCGAACCCAGAGTCCAGGCGGCCTACTCGACAACTGCCATGCAAACTTGCGTCTTGGCCGCAAATGCTGGTGGAGAGACGAGGCAATCTGTGCCGAAATGTCATACGAAACCGAGACCCATTCAAGGCCAACGTCCAAATGGAAGTCAGAGTCCTAATTTGGTGCTTTCAGCGTCGAGCGAGATAGCTTGCTGGGCCCATAGTGACACAAAAGCGCACGAATGCAAGCAAATAAGCTACAACATGGACACTCGTCTCGTTCGTTTTGTGTAGACGAGCGGTATGGTGGAATGGAGCTCGGCCGGACTCGAGCCCAGCACACAGGCCAGACGGTTTTGTCGAGTGGCTGGAGGACAAGAAGACATGTCATGACAAGAGGGCCATCCAAAAGGAGCTCACGTCCGTGCGCGACGGAGGCGGAGGACACGGCGTCTCGTCGACAACTGCACTCCGACGCCGACTCGTCTGGCCGACCGAGTCGCCGGCATCGGCGACACCGCCGCGGCGAGGGATTCGAGCTGGCGGCTCGGCAGCAGCCTCGGGGCCATCAGCAATCGGCACAATCGAGGCCCCGTTGGCCGAGAGGTCACCGGCCAACGTGTCGGACGAAGGCCCAATCTGAAGTGGAGACTGAGTTGGCAGAGGCGAAGGTGCCGGCGCCGCTGGCGGCGGCGAAAGCGGATGTGAAAATGGTACCAAAGTCATGGCCAGACAAGAGGGGAGGACGGCTTCTGCGAACATCCGATCGAAAAGGTAGGCCTTTGGGTCTTTGTACGAGCGGATGACAGCAGCAACCTCGGGCCAGGCCCTTGAAAGTGTCGTCTCTGCAGAACTTGAACTTTCGCGGGTTGTAGACACGTTACGCCGATCTTTACGTCGCCGGCAGTTGCAAGTGGACAAGCAGAGATGAGGGCGGAATAAAAGGAAAAAAATGCGAGAAAAGCAACGTAAAAAGCATCCACTTCAACAAGCCCCAGCAAACTAAGCCACTCTCAGACTCTTTCTCATGAAACCTGCCAAACCTGCTTCTGAAAACTAGTGTAAAATGACATGACGACAACCATGACTACTATTATCATTAGCAGTAGTAGTCTCAAAAGCCCAAAAATATGTAACGTTGTCA